CCATGACTGCCACAACCAGCAATTATCCCGCAAAATATTAGAAGATAATACTAAAATATTAATGAAAGACACTAATTTTAACAGACTACAAATTTTAGAATCCCTATTTATTAATATTTATAAACCTAATTTGAACAAACAAATTTATTCCAATTTTATTTTACCTTCATCACGAAATGTTTAATTTATTATTATTATTATTAACATAATATTACACATATAATATATTTTATTATGTTATATAACAAAATAATTGTTTATTATACTTAATTTAACTACTTACGTTATTTAACTTTAATCGTTACGTTTCTTTCGCGCTCAACTCTTATTACGTCATCTGACAGTTTATTGTTATGTTTTATTTGAATTAATATTAAATTGCCTGAAGATGAATTATAAAATTCGAAACGTCGCTTAATAAATAATTATATAATGAATATTGGTGTTCTAATTTTTAATTTAAATTATAATTATAAAAAACTAATAAGAAAAATAGAAAATCTTAATAGAAAATTAAATAACAATAATATAAGCATCGCGTTTAATGAAATATATATATATATATATATATATATATATATATATATATATTAGTAGTGTTTTTTGATTCTGGTGTTGGTTGTTTGTCATTCTCTGGTGATTTTTTGCATTTTCCGGGTCTTTCATCAGTTTTTTTAGTTATTTTTCAGATATTTTGTTGACAAACATTAAAGGAAGTCTAATTTCGTTTAAATTTATTTCTAAACTTTGTTACAGTGGAAAATTTTTCATTTTAGTTGTTTTCTTTTTGGTCATAAATAATTTTTGTTGCCTCAATAATATTAATGTCCATAGCTTACGTGCTTATAGCTTGATATCCATTTATAACGCTTGGGTTTAAAAGTACCAGTTCAGTAGTTTTCACCAATAACATTTTGTTTACCGTGCGAACGCGTAGTGTGCACGTATTGTTTTCACGGCCTCTGGATAGTGTGCACGCATTTATTTATTTATTTATTTATTTGAACAAAGCACGGGCTATTGCCCATTACCGAATTTACAAGAAAAATAAATACATGGTATTATACATGCATACCACGATACATTCGTACAATTGCTTCACAAGTATAACCACGAAGATAATGCATTATACCATGGCAGATTGAAAATAATTTCCAAAAACAATAAATTAACACTAACAGTGTCTTGAGTGTCACCATAAATGCAAACTTATAAACCAAGATATAATAAAATACTTTATCCATCTAACCCCATTAATCCCATCCTACACCTGAATAGCATAAAATTAACTACACATTTCCCATGCAATAGAAAAAATAAACAAACATTCATGCATCCATCTAATTTCCTTAACCTCCCCTACCCATATACCAACTCATATACCCACCTACTCATGAATCATTAATTATTATATCAGATAATTATATTAGAACCTAGAAATTTCATTAACTATTTACCAATCAATAAAAAAAAACCAAACAATCATATGAAAAACAATAATAATAATAAGAAAGTTATGAAGTCAATATAAAATATAATTAGCCAAAAAATTTATAAATGAAATACGCGCATGCATTCAACCATAAAATGGGTAATGAAATAATCAATCCAAGTCAATCATACATATTCCCAGTCATTACTGATAAAAAATAAAACAAATACATATTTTTACCTATATTTATGCTCATATTTTTACCATATGATAATTATTACATTAGCCTCATAATAATGAGTATTATAAATGTTGCATAAGTAATTCTCTTATTAATCCACTCCCGTCCATCCATGAAAAATTCTTATTCAATCATACTAATAGATTAAAAATCTCAAACCATTCCTACTTATCAACACACACATCCAATTGAACCGTCAGTTTAAAAGTATCACCTATATTGAAATTTAGCATCACCCCAAAACAAATCCAAACGAGATTTAAAAACACTTGTATTTGGAGAGTCAACAACAGATTGCGGGAGTCTATTCCAGTCCGCGACTACTCTGTTACAAAAAAAATATTTTCTAACATCCTTGTGAGATAAACCTGTTGACAACTTCATATGATGCCCTCTAGTTCTCCCATCATTATTGAGCAACATGAACGAATGATCAGTATCTGGATTGGCCACCAACATTTTATATAAAAAAATCAGGTCCGCTCTAGTTCTTCGATATTTCAAAGAATGCAAGTTCAATTTTTTTAATCTATCAATATACTCTAAACCATAACAAAAACGGATAGATCTAGTAGCTCTTCTTTGAACTTTTTCAATCATTTGTATTAGGTTTATGTGATGTGGGCACCAAACCTGTACCGCATACTCTAGATGTGGTATGACCAAGCCTTTGTAGAAACATAGGTAAGCTTCTTTATCAATAAGTCTAAAATGCCTGTTTATGATGCCCAACATAGTGTTGGCTAACTTAACTTTACTATATATATGATCTCTAAAAGTGATAATATCATCAACAAACACACCTAAGTCTTTTATTACTTTGACTACTTGGATCACTTGTTTGACCTGGGCAGAATCCCACATTTCATAAATATTATTATATTTATTTCCGAACTTCAATACGCAACATTTATCTACATTTGGAATCATACGCCAGACATTTAGCCAATTTTGCATATTGATCACATTTAGTTGCATGGACTTCAAGTCATCTGGACATTTGATAATTTTAAACATCTTTGCATCATCCGCAAAAAGATATATATATTATCACATGCTGAAGGGAGATCATTAATATAAATTGTAAACAGTAGAGGTCCCAGGATACTACCTTGGGGAACTCCACTAGTAGCATCAAACTTTGAAGACAATGCATCACCCACTCGCACCCTGAAGTTTCTCTTCTTAAGATATTCACTTATCCAAACAAGAATTTTGTTATCGAATCCATATTTCTTTAGTTTCAGTAACAAACAATTGTGAGATATCCTATCAAAAGCCTTCTCGAGATCAGTATATATGACGTGTACTTCCTCATCACAATCAACACCCATTGTAAATTTATCCAAAAATGTCAGCAACTGAAGAGTCGTCGATCGTCCGGGCAACAACCCATATTGATTTCGGTGAAATAAATTATTCGTCAGAAAATAATTCAAAACATGGTCCTTAATAATTGATTCCATCATTTTACAACACACAGAAGTAAGAAAAATAGGCCTGTAGTTACTAACCAAACTTTTACTTCCTTTTTTGTGTATTGGTATTACTATGCTAGCCTTCCAATCTGCTGGAATCATACCGGTATCTAGTGAACATTGAAAAATTTGCCTAACTGCAGAAACAACAACTGTTTTACTTTCCAACAATATCCGTGGATGAATATTATCAGGCCCTGCAAATTTGTTCTTATCCAATAAAGAAATCTTTTTAGACACTACGTCATCATTGAATTGCAATTCATCCATTCCGGCAGCCGGAACCAATGGATATAAAGAGTCATTATAATTAACCTCATTGTCAAGTTTATAAACCGATGAAAAGAACTTTGCCAAAGCTTGGGCTTTTTCATCATCACCCGTGAGATCTGTGTTCTGTACTCTGAGTGTTTCAACCCTGCCCACTGTTGTTATTTTCTTCTTCACCTGTTTCCAGAACAGTTTTGGGTTGTTGTGATAGTTTCTGGCAATAAAATTCTGGTTATCTCTGTCCAGCTGTTTACATTCTGCTCGAACTTTATCTCTCGTAGACCTGAAACTTTGCAATAAGTCAACGTCTCCATATTTATAGATTCTTTTCCAATAGTAGTGCTTAAGCTTGATAAGTCGCCTCAGTTTAAAGTTGACATGCTTAACAACACAGCTACCACATATTTTCATAGGAACATATTTTAAAGTAGCCTCACTAATCAAAAAACAAAATTTTGCCATAAATTGTTTTCACGGCCTGTGCTGCTGCCTCTGGATAGTGTGCACGCATTTTTTCATAGTCTTTGCTGCTTTTTCTAGTCTGTGCTGCATTGATTCAAGTTAATTAATTTTTGTGCACTTTCTGTGCTGTTAGCAACAATCGCCGTATCGTCTGAGAATTGCAACCATGCTCTTGTTTTCAAATTAGCTGTGGGACCCCAAATGTATCCACATTGTTGGAATTAAGCTTTCTCAACTACTTTCATTAAAGGATTGAAGCAGAGGTTAAAGAGCAGTGACGACACGGGATCTCCTTGGAGCACTCCTCGATTGACTAGAATGGGGAATGTTAGTTGGTCGGCTCCGGATACAGTTATTGAATATTTAGTGTATATATCTTTAATTAGGCTGCTTATGTGAAATGAAATATGATGATAGTCCAGAGTGGATGTGATGAGACTGTGACTGACCTCACCGAATGCGTTTGAAGGTCTAGTAGGGAAACAATTATTGTTCTTTGGTGTTTCCTTGCATCGTTGGGAAGGTGGGTGAGAAGTTGATTGTGCTCTGTCAGTCCATCAATTTTAGGGTAGAACCCCTTCTCAACGTTTGTGTTGATTAATGCGTTCTTTTCCAAAAAGTTATAAATTTTGTTGTTGATGAAAGATGAAAATATTTAGTATAATGTAGGTTGCAAAGTTATGGGTCTGAAATTTGATGGATCATGAGCGTCGCCCTTTTTGTAGATGAAAATTGTGAAGCCCTTTCTCCAACAAGTTGGGATTCTGCAGGATACCTAGCATTTAACTAGCAGTTTGTGGAGAATTGTGCATAATATTGGGCATTTCTTGAATGGGATTATAGAAATTCGGTCAAACGGACATGGAGAAGATTTTGACTTGTATTTGCGGATTATTGTCGAGATTTCGTGATAAGAAGGAAGGCTGGTGTTGCAGGGTGATGAGGGTTGTTGTAATTTTTGAACCCAGTTGGGTAGCTGATGTTTTTTTTTGGTGCGGATCGTTGGGAATTAAATTGAAATATTTACATTCGATGACGTTAAAAAGTGGCTTCAGATTTGTTGTTTGTTTGAATATTTTTTTACATGTAGGCCAAAATCGTTTTTTGAGCTGAGTTGTGATGTCATTCGTTTGGAGTGCATCTTTTGATGTTTTGTTGATGCTATTCTTGATCTTATTACTTTATTTGCTTTGCTAATTGGACTGTCAAAACGCTGGTTGTTTTGACCCAATAGCTTAAGTTGTTTCAGTTCTTTTTTCAGTTGTTTTATTGAATTGTTGGAGTGAGAGTTGTTTAAGTTTTAATGGTCCCGTAGTTTTTAGCGAAATAATTGTAGATCATTTGTTGGAAGGCATGGGTGAACTCGTCAATGTTGTCGTAGTTTGGGAGAGATTGTTGATGAAGCTGGAAGAAGGCGTTGGCTTCGAGCCATTGAGCTAGCGATTTGGGTAATTTGACGCCTGGAAGAGTTGATTCTATTTTATTTGGCGTTGGCGACGCTAGAGATGTTGGTACTTCAGCTGGAGCTGGTGTTGTGCCATCGACGTTGTTTGTTGGGTTGTCTGAAAGTTGAATTGTTTTATGCATTTTGCATGAGCGTTGATGCATAATTAAACTCTTACGGCCTCTGCAGCCCTTTCCACAGCAACAAAATATTAAATTGTTCTTTAAATTTATTTTTTTTTTTTATTATTATTATTCTTTAAAAATCAGGATCTGACAGACGCAGAAACTGTAACAACATGCAAGGCAGTGAAACAAAATTAAACAAATAAGTGAGAAAATAAATACAAAAAGTGAGAAAGAGAAATGATAAAACATGAAAAAACATAAATTTAAGGATACGTTTAAAATAATAATAATAATAATATGAACAGAAATTGATTTTACTAAATAAATTGAATAAAATATGTCAATGATGATCACCCATACACGCGCACACACATCACACAAACAAAAGCACATTTACATTTCAAAGACTATTAGATAAATATTCAGCCACCAATAAAAGATAACTATACAAACGAATATCTTATCTACAAGGCAAAACGTTTGGCATGTAATTAAATTTAATGTACAATTCAAGTAAAAAAAGCAACTTAGAATATTAGCATGTTATATTGGCATATTATGAAAAGTTTACCGTAAAAAATTCATTATATGTACTTATATACATTCATATCCACTCATGCACATTCATATCCACTCATACACATTCATATCCACTCATACACATTCATGTCCACTCTTACACATTCATATCCACTCGTACACATTCATACACACACATACTGTTGCGGTTGCTTGTTTCTTCGATCACGTCGAGGTAACCGATTTGTTGCGGTTGCGCGAATGTATGACCAAACCAGGAATAGTGCGCAGGAGCGAATAGAAGAATAGTATTCGTTTGGATAGGCTGAACACGTGTTTTGTCCCTACCGGGGACTCATCAGCAGCTCGATTTATTATTATTATAACAAATATAAAATATTCATTATATGTACTTACTCACTTATATACATTTATATCCACTCATACACATTCATGTCCACTTTTACACATTCTTATCCACTCATACACATTCATACACATACATAGTGCAGAGAAGATTTTTCCAAACCGCAACCGCACCGCTCATTATCCGCACCGCACCCGCGAAAAGGCAACCTAAATCGGCCGTCTTAATCTCATGTTTAAAATTAGATAATAGCAATGCTAGAGAGCAATTTATTTACAATATAATTATAACCAGAAAAATTATAAGAAAAAAATTTAATAAATTTCTAATTTAATAACACCGGCACATCGCCCAGAACAACGAGCACAAATGAATGACGACGAGGAACTTAAACAAGCTATTTATTTAATTAATATTTATGAAGATGCTATGTTATATGTTGGTTGTACCAATATATATATATATAAATATATATATATATATACAATATTCTATAAATTCTATCGAATGTTTGGCGTTTTTTCGATTTTTCCCACTAAAGTTTTTTGGTGAACGTTTAGTTTATTAAAATTTAAAATAAACTTATTTTCCGAATTCATGCTGCATATAAGGCCATATTTCGATTCCGAATGAATCATTATCAGTGCGGTTAAGTTTATATAGGGAAATATTGACTTTGTCAAAGTGAACTTAGATGAAAATTAGGTGTCTGGTTTCTTTATTGGCTGGTCAATCTTCGTTGGTTTCCTTTTCTTCATCGATAGCATCATATTCTTCTTTGTTACTATATACTATGCTAGTTTTTATTACTTCTTTGTTTTCGTTGTTGATTAAGCGCCGGGTTGGAAGTGAGGTTGTCATTTTTTGTTGTATATTTATTTTTGGTTCATTGATGTCAATTAGGACTGCTTCTTCAATTTTAAGATGCGTGTAGTTGCTGTTCTGGTATATTACAGTTGTTGTTCAGTATTAGGTGATACGTCTTTTTGTTGTTGTAATAAATTCGAAGTTTAACTTTACTATTTGGGTTGGTTGGTATGACATTTTTATTGATGATATGTTTAAGAATAGCTTCATCTACTTTGTATGCAGTTGACATGTGATTTCTGTAATACAAGATGATGTCGTTATCTTGATTGTTGGTACTAGGAAGGTTATTGTTGTGTGGTAATTTGCCTTTAACAATCTTTTCAATAGAATAAGTCTTATATCCATTGTTTACAAGCAGGTTAGTGGCTCTTTTTAATTCGGCGTCGTGATTTTCAATATCGGAAGAGTGTGTGAATGCCTTGTTTTGTAGATTCTGATGTATCGTTCGACGACGAAGTTGATTTTGCTGAAAGTGTTGAAGAAGATAATGTCGGCGCTGTAGACTTTGGCATAGGTGACGGTATAGATGGTGACGGTGTGTATGCAAGTTTGAGACGGTCTATGACCGCCGTGTTTCTATGTCTCTTTTTGTCAAGGACAAAGTTCTCTGGGTGTCATTCCACCACTGTGTAAGGCCCATCGTAAGGAGGTTGTAGTGGAGAGCGTGAGCATCCGTACAAACAAAAACCTGTTTTTGGGATGTAACTCACATTTGTATTTGTTTTCGGTTTCGCGTTTGAGTATTGATGCTTATGTGTGTACATCGGTTGTATCTGGTCGTGTGTTTAGAAAATTTTCGGGAAGGCGGAGTGTTGTGCGTAAACGAGCTCTGCTGGTGACAATTTTAGGTTTTCCTTCTCCGTTACACAAATGCCTAAAAGTGTCAATGGTAAAACATCAGTCCATTTGTCTGAACTGTGAGCCATAAGCGAGGCCTTAAGTTGTCTGAGCAATCGTTCCACCATACTCTTGGCTGCTGGATGTGCGATGGTGTAATATGTCTAAAGTTCAGAAACTGGGTGAATCTTTTGAAAGCAAAAAATGTAAACTTTCTGCCTTTGTTTGTGGACATGTTGAAATCTGCTGCTTGGTGGAGAGAACTCTGCTGGAAGTGAAACAGTATGTCGATGTACTTTGCTGCGTTGACGTTGCAAACACTCTCTGTACTAACTTCGGATGTCTTTATTAATGTGAGGAAAAACGTACCTGGTTCTAATTAACTTTGATGTTGGTTTTGCTCCTGGATGTGACAAAGAGTGGAAATTTAGAAAAACTGGTTTTCGCATGCTTTTTGGAACTAAAAGACGAGGGGTGCCTAATGAGGTGTCGACGATGATATTGTTTTTGGAGTTGTTGACTAGAATTATGCTGATTTTTAGCGAGTCTGTGTTGTCGAGGAGTGTTGCATCATGGATCTATTCTTTTAACATCTCATTGAGGTTTATTGATTTTAACGTTATCGGGGTTACCTCTGTGCGTGATAACGCATCAGCCACCATTCTCATCATTTGTCTTTTCCTTTCACGTGTCGAATGTCGTGAACTGTAAGATGTAATTAAGGTGTTTGATCTCTTTTGGTCTTAGTCGATTTGAATTGGAATGTAAGGCAAATGTCAATGGTTTGTGGTCAGTAAATATTGTAAATTGTCGACCTTCGAGAAAATGTTGAAAATGACAGATAGCTAAATACAATGCCAGCAGTTCTCGACCAGATGGGCTGTAGCGGGTCTGTGCTGGATTAACTGGATTAAACTTTTGTGAGAAGAAAGCAATGGGTTTTGCAATTCCGTTATTTTTCTGTTCTAATACAGCTCCGGTAGCATTGTCTGAAGCGTCGGTGGAGAGTTGAAAAGTACCTTTCTCTTGAACATACCACAACTTGGTTGCTGCTTTTAATGTCTGCTTGGCCTCTCTAAAACTTTGTTTTTGAACATTGGTTGAGTTTTAGTGTTTTTGATTTGCCCGTTAAAATGTCAGTGAAAGGCGACAATATTCGTTGAGCAATTAGAAATGAATCGACAGCAGAAATTGATCATTTCAATGAATCGGCGTAGTTGTTTGTCAGTGTTGGTTCAACGAAATTGATGATTGCTTACACTTTGTTATAGGGGGGTCTTCTCTGTTGAGTTGATGTCCAAGAAATGTTGTAGATGATTTCGTCCATTCACACATTTCGGTGGATTGATGGTTCGACAATCTCTTACTTCTAGCGTAGAGACATTGTCAGCAATTTTGTTTCTCTTCATATCGACTTTAATATCGAAGTGTGACAGAAAGTTTGAGTGACGTTGGCGATGATAAAAATCCATTGAAACTTACGTCTTAGACCAAGGTCAATGGTTACGAGTCGTTGACCAAATGTGTCGTTGGTGGTGCCATTTGCGGCTTGTAGCCTGTAGTCGGATTTAAGTCGTTGAGGGGATGTTGTCGCGAAGGTATAAAGCTTACCTGGGCTCCCGTGTCAACCAAAACTTTGTCTTCAAAATGTTATTGGGGACATAAAAAAGGCGAAATGGTTTGTTGAATGTTGATGTAGTGGCCAGTTGTTTTAGCGACTGTTTGTTGTTGTTTGCCGTAACTCTTGTTTGTTGTTGTTTGTTGATGTTTGATAATGATGCATATAATGATGCATGAACGTTTGATGTTTTATCTATTTGAGCTGTCATCTCTTCAATACTGGCTTTTGCTACGGCGTTGTGTGTTGTGATTGTGGAACTGTCGCAATTGGCTATTTGAAGTATTTGTTCAACCATAGTTGCTAACTTCTGCAGTGTATCGTCTATTGAGGTTTCCAGCTGCATTTGTATTGTGGATGGCAATTGATCCAACCACAATTTTTTGCAAATGCTTTTGTCCCTGTTATTACCTCCACAGGTTTTGCATATGTTTCAGCAGTTTTGGTGCTGAATAGGTTCAGTTGGAGTGGAGCCCTCATTGTTGTTTTTTTTGTTGTAGTTGTGATTGTAGTTTTGCAAGCCATCGCGTTCGGGGTCACCAATTTTTTGCGGTTGCGCAAATTTATGAGATACACCAAACCAGGAATAGTGCACAGGAGTAATTAGAAATTTTTTGCAGTTCTGTATTGCGATCTTAAGTCGTCCTCAAACAAATCATAAAAAGAAATGTTACACCAATCAATAATGCTAACAAAATAAAACTCAGGATAAATTACAATAATATTGTAAGACATCACAATTGGTCTTAAAGAAAATCTGCACCCATAAAAACGATTCTACTTTAAAGCGTAATCAAGTAATATACAAATTTAAATGCCCTATTGACAATTATGCGTGTCAACAATATTGGTATATTGAGGAGCCATCAAATCTCACTTGCAATCAACACATGCAACTCCTATAGCCCGCCAAATTCTTGAAAACAACACAAAAATAATTTATCAAAACACCAACAGAACACATCTAAAAATTGCAAAGCTGTCCTAATAGATAACAATAAACCTCAAATAAACATCCAACAAACAATGATAACATTATTACCAACTCGACGTCTTAATATTAACTTCAATAACAATAAAGAACAAAAGAATAACAACAACAAAGATGAAAAATACGACACCAAACAATAAACTTTGTCAAAGAACTGACTCATTCCATTACTCGGTTATATAAACCAAACCTGCACTGAAGATGATTTATAAAAAATCAGATTAATTTTCAATTAATTGAACAATTTCCAGGAAATTCTAGTAAGAAAATTTGAAAAGACTAATCTTAAATTGATTAATGCAAACAATTTAGTAGAATTTATACATACAACACACGTTTAGACGACATTTTCCCCGAGATCGGGGGTTGCCGTTTGGCTACCTATGATGAAACCGAAATACCCCTCGACGCCATCCACATCTGTCACTCGCCTCAGTATCACGCAACCCCGCTTTCACCCTGTCCTTCTCCACCTGCTCTCTCTATCCCAATCGCGGACCCCTAACTCCAAAGCTCGCCTAATCCCGACCTTTTCATCCCTTCTCAATACATGTCCATACCATCGCAATCTCGATCTCCTTATCAATGTCACAATGTCCTCATTCAGTCCCATCATTGACATCAGCTCTGTACTACTCCTATCCTTCACTTTAACCCCACACATCATCCTCACCATAGCTCTTTCAGTCCTCTGCAGTACACTTTCCTCCTCTCTCCTCAACACCCAAGTTTCACCACCATATACCATCGCTGCTCTCACACATGCTTTATATACCCTCCCTTTCATCTTCACTGACCATTTCTTTCCACACAATACCCCACCCAGTTCCCTAAATTTCATCCATCCTACACGAACTCTAGCCG